ACCAATCTTGGGCAATGCAAGGGAGGGTCTTCACCTATGCTTAGAACGACTGGATTCGACGGTTGATCTAATGTCTTTTTTTAAAGGAACAACAGTGCCAGATGGGATAGAGAAAAAGGTAAAACGGTAATAGGCACCCAATTACCCCGTCCTTTCAGTTGTGAAGCGTTATACCTACCTTCTTCACAATTCACGCCATTCAACCCGCGCCCCGCTGGGGGCCCTGGATTTACACGCCCTGCTGGGGGGGGGGGGGGGCTCGGCTCCTGGGCCATGTAGCGATACGCGAAAGGCGGCGTTCGAAAGAGCGTAAAAAATAATGACGGAATCGATACAGTCACTTTTTTGGTCAGGTCAAAGGTCAGGTCACCAGGGGTCATTAAAGGCCAAATTTCGCCGATGTTTAGATCGAATATCAACAATTTGCAAGAAGCCGACGCATAACTCGGAAACCAATAAAGCTACAGCGCCGCGGAAAAGCGCATTTGATAGCCCTATTAACGCTCTTTCTGAATCACCCTCTTAGATTTGACCTAACGTCAACCGTTTTGCCTACAGGGGGTAAAAACTGCCAAAATAGACGATTTTTCGGAGTTTTTTTTTTGCAATAACTTTTCACTCGAGCCTTGCACAAGCTTTCTTTTACCGGCATCGTGTTCCTCTCGTCAAGACGCATCGAATGAACTATAATGTGACCTCGGAAGATCAACTTGAAAATTTGACCTCAGGTCAAGGTCATGACCTGACCGGAAATTGTCATGTTGCATATCAGTGGATCCGTATCGTCGAGCTGAACATATCTAAGGCGTTTTCATCGCTCTAGAATGCCTCTATCAAAAGTTATTCGCGAAACACTGTTTAAGGCACTGAGATGTCCTCAGGGGCATAAACAGGGGTCACGGGTGCTATTTTCATGTTCAGTGTGTCAAAGTTACTTGTAATTCAGTGTTTGAGTGTGTGTTTAGAATGACTTTTGTCCAAAAGAGGCGGTTTTGAAATTTCTCTCATACATTGAAACATTTTATGAGGTGAGGTCACTTGAAGTGACCTGGTGACCTGAGCTTGAATGACCTTGGTCTGAAATTTCACAACATGTGTAGAATTGATGTATGATAAGGTGTGCCAAAACGGCGGGGCGCGGAAAATCCGCGAAAAACCGCAGGGGGGGGGGTGTTCAAACACCTCCTTCAGCAGGGCGCGGGTTAATAAATGATAGGTAAAACCGAAAACTACATGGAAGTTGGTAAACGTATAGCTGTATCGCAGCGGTAATCAGCGCAATGCAAAGGAACCGTCCGGTGCCGGCAGTGAGAATTGGCATGTACACCGGCCGCTGCACCGCCGGCTGGATGGATTTTTTATTTACACTCCTATTATTATGAAAAGTTGTAGACCGATTTAGGTACTTATTGCTTTCATGGCAAGATGCACAATTCAATTTCAGACAGGGATTGACAATTTGACGTTAATGGGATGATAAGGGCGTAAGATATCTGCGAAAAACAGGAGGGGTTAGCGAAATTCGCAACCCTTCCCCCCTTCCACTGCGCGTGTTAATGAGCACGGTCCTGTCCCTTTTCATAACCCGCGCCCCGCTGGGGTATTCAGCACTACGCGCCCCGCTGGGGGGGGGGGGCGATTCTGCCCCCCCCTGCCTAACTTCCGAACGGAGGGCCGTAGAGAGACGGGGTAAGCGGAAAACGAAAGGTCTCAACGAGACCAATCTTAAGAACACCACAAATTTTGCTTAAGTAGGTCAAAAGTCAGGTCAAAGTCAGGTCAAAGGTCAAAATGACAGGTTTTCACAGCATTGGCGTCTGAGCCCAGTTGGTGAAGAGGCGATTGAGGGCGCTACCCAGAACGCATCCTTAGGGTAGGGAGACGATGTGCTTTACTTAAAACGCCATGCAAAGTTCAAGGTCAAGGTCAGGTCAGGTCAACAAAGGTCATCACAAAGTAGCCACTGAACGGGCTATGTGCGACACATGTTTTATGGGTCATTTTGCCCATAGAATGCAATGACGATACTCACTAAATGATTTGGATCACATTTGGACGAAGTTCAGGTCTAGGTCAGGTCAAGCCAGGTCAAACTAGGTCAATTTCGAAATTGATCTTTTCAAACAAAATTGGTGTCTCTCTGATTCAGTTTTTGATGGCAAATCCACCGGTGGTATTTTCGTTGTTGTAGATGGTCTAGAACTTCCAAAATTTGCTTTCAAATTTTGGCATGTTGTGACGTCACAAAAACGCATTTTTTCAAAAATTTTCAAAGTGATTTCGATGAAACTTGCATAGTCGATGTCAAATTGATGTAGGATAAGGTATCCCAAATTTCGTGGCGATATCTGCAACGGTTTTGGAGTTATCACGAAAATCCGGGAGGGGGGGCAGAATCTGCCCCCCCCCCCAGCGGGGCGCGGGAGAAGGTTCAGGTGGCATCCTTCACCAATATTTTTGGCGCTCCTACACCCATGCTTTTGACTTTCCTCTTTGTTGACCTTTTACCTGTTGGCTTTTAAGATTTTTGACTTCTTGCTTTTGACGTAATGTCTGTTCACTAATCATCCTTTTACCTTTTATCATTTGACTTTTTGTCCGGAACCCTGGGAGGGACGTCAGACCGTCGGACGGCGCTACTCTCATTGCACTCGGTAAGTACAGCGCTGCGCATGACCGTCAAAATTCGCGATTGAGCTGTCTTGGAATTATTTGCCGAAACAAAGGTCCTTGCAGGGGCTCCGCCACGGTTTCAGGATGGGGGGGGGGGGGGTCCGACCAAAAAAGATGTACATTTTATAAGGGCCTTATACATCAGCCTGCTTTAAGGAGGTCAAATCTTAATCATTCGGGGTACGGATTACTGTGACCTTCCCCTCCCCCCCCCCCGCCCGTAGCGGAGCCATTGGGTTCTTGTATACCTAGGTATTAGGTATTCACGATATTTTTAGCATCAAAGTTCATCACCGCAAACAGAACACTTTTTACCTTATTCCAGAGCAAACCATCACTTGTAATTAGAACAAGAAGTAACAAAGAACTTTAAATAATTCGGCAGTAGGCATACGTGGGAGAGGCTCCCTTCACCTTCCCTTGTGGCAAAGATGACTTATTTTTTCAACTTCAAAACGTCCGTCCGAATCAGTAACGGTACGTACCCAATGATGGAAACGCATTAGGTACAATATCGCTATCATAAAGGTTCCTCCCACTTTTTACCTTCAAGCCCGTCCGTTGTCCGCAGGCTCTATTTCTCGGGCCGATCCAGCCTTGCAACTGCGGGCGCCCGAGGCGTTGTCCAAGGGCGTTGTCCTCTGCGGGCGCGGCCGTCGCGGGTCCAGAGATGGTGCCGTTTCCCACCAGCCCTTATCAGTTCTCCGTCCAGTCGTCAAACGATACACTGGCTCGCAGAATGACAAGGAGACGTGGGAAAGAGCGGGCGGCTGCCGTGTCGCCGGTGAGGGCGGCTGTCGGGCGCACTGTCTCTGTCCACCGGTTGGGGTGACGCCCTGCCTGGCGGGCCCGGGCCCTCGGAGACTGTCGGACGGCCGCCCGCCGGCGTCCCGTATCGACCGCTGGAGCGTCGCTCAGCCTCCAGCGGCGGGCCCAGAGGAGACACAGCGGGTCGCCGCGGCCGCCCGCCGCCGCCGCCGGCGCCGCCTGGACGCGCCCCTGACGCCGACGCGCTCGGCCCGGGCCGTTCCGTCGAGATCGACGGCGGCGCGCGCTGCGCGGAGCGACGCGGGAGGTGTCTGCCGCGGAGGGCGTGTGACGTTTCACGCTGGGGGCGCCCTCTGCGTCGCCACCGCGGCCATCGCGACAGTTCAGCGGGGCGCGGCAGAACGGACGACCATAGCTGGCAGGAATGGTTCATTAGTTATGCAAGTCCTTCCCAGGTCAAATGTAGGTATAGGTACATGTTATAATCGATTAAATGTAATAAATTAAATGTATGAATTATGTTAAATGTTAAATGAATTAAATGTAATCAAAATCGATCCGTCTAATTCGGAGCGAATCACAAGTTCGTAAGCAAACGCGATTCTCGGGATGTCGTCTAACTCGGAATGTCGACAAATAAAAATACAATGCGTAAATTGCATGGAAGAGCAATGCTTTGCCTAATTCAATCAATTTTATCGTAGGGGCGTTAAAATTGATATATTTTACTATGCATACCTGTACCTATATTGGCATCAAAAATGAAAATGTACGGTTCATTGTAGCTGCCAAGTAGGTATAGGTATAGTACCGAAAACGCATCATGCAATGCAACAAAAAAAGAAGAAAAATACATGCAGCTTACATATTCGACTGAATGCATAGAGGCTTTGTTTCGCCTCCATTTGCTCCTCCTTTTGGCTGATGTTATCAATCATTTTTCGTTCGCTAGACACTATAGGTATACCTATTCATATACCTGCATCATACATTCATATATTCCAACTTGGCACTGTAAATGTGTTTACAGTTCACATGACACTTTTTCCCACAGTTACAGTACATACACTTCACATATGAAGTGAGCGGTGATTAACGGAGCATACGAGTATATATGTACAACTTTACATGCCTACGTATACGGGGATCGTGACGGGTCACCAGGTAAAACGGTGATCGAAGCGACTCACTCGCTGAACGGAGATCGGAGCGAGTCACTTGATAAACGGTATCAGGGACGGGTCACTTAGTGAACGGTGACCGGGACGGGTCACTCGATAAACGGTGACCGGGACGGGTCACTTAGTAAACGGTGAGGTCACCCGTCGAACGGTGACCGGGGCCCGGGGGACGGGTCACCCGTCGAACGCTGACCGGGACGGGTCACTTAGTGAACGGTGACCGGGACGGGTCACTTAGTGAACGGTGACCGGGACGGGTCACTCGATAAACGGTGACCGGGACGGGTCACTCAATGAACGGTGACCGGGACGGGTCACTCGATAAACGGTGACCGGGACGGGTCACTCAATAAACGGTGACCGGGACGGGTCACTTAGTGAACGGTGACCGGAACGGGCGACCGGGTGGACGGTCACACGGCGGGGTTCACGTGCACCGATCGCACTGATGGCCGGCGGTTCCCGTGCGGAGACTGACCTCGCCGGTACCGGCGGCCCGGGATGTCCCAACCCAGCCTGGTGCCGAGGACCAGCGGAGGACACCGCGGTACACCTGCCGACCACCGGTATAAAGGGACACAGCGGTGGGAGGAGGGCACAGTTCGCTACTGGTCAGATCCAGGACAACAGATCGGTCAGATCCAAAACAACAGACATGAAGCTGGTGAGTTGGGCCACGAAACGGCGACCTAGTAATGATGCACTGTTTTTCCAAAGCAGTTTAATGTATATATGTACTTAACTTATGCCCTTACTTTCTCATCCTTCTTGGACTTCAGTAGCTGGGCTCATATTGTTGTTGAACTAGAGTCTAGCGATATTTTTGGACGCACGATTTTGAAGAAGAACGTTGATTGGGTAGGAGTGCAATTGAAGTCTTACACTCGCTATAATTCTCTCAATTATAATACTCTCAATTAGCTCATGCTGGTTCAATAATTTGATGTGTTTTTTTTTAAAGGTATGCAATAACAACCCCTCTGTACCGTTTCAGCTCGTGTTCGCCGCCGTGCTGGCCGTGGCCGCCGCCGCCCCGTCGGAGCTCCCCTACGAGAGGAACATTGTCGAGATCCTCCGACAGAACATCGACCACAACGACGACCAGTCCTACCAGCACTCGTGAGTGACATGACAATCGGACCGGCCTACTCCCCGGGTCTGTCAATGGAGGCGCTTTGGCGGATGGAAGCATTCATGTCTCCCATCCATTGCCTCTTTTCATAATTCTTGACGAAATAATTGGTGCTAACTTCTTACGGTGCAATGCAATTATTTACTGCTCTTCGCAAGCAAGTTTAATTAAACCATTATCCATTCAATATATTCAATCTCACTCTCATTATACTTCAGTCACTACATATTGTGTGAACCTTGCTGTTCATCTCCCTCCGCCAGTTTCGAGAGCGAGAACGGCATCTCTGTGTCGGAGTCTGGCCAGCCGGAGGATGACGACAGCTACAGCGTGTCGGGCCAGTTCAGCTACACGGCCCCCGATGGCGTCACCTACACGGTGCTGTACTCGGCCGGCGAGCAGGGCTTCCAGGCGCAGGGCGACCACCTGCCCACCCCGGTGCCCACCGAGTACCCCACCCCGGAGGTGTCGGAGGAAGAGGATGAGGAGGAAGAAGAGAAGGAGGAGGAGGTCCGTGGGGAGCCCCAGTACGAGCGTGTCATCGTCGGCTACCGGCCACGATACAACTAGGTCATTAAAGAACACGTTTGAAACAACGACGCTTCATGTGTTTGGAGGATGTTAATATGAGCGGATGTAATTGTTCCTTCCTTTTGCGTATTTATTCGTTTTTTTTTTACCAACAATTAAAAGCGTCTTGTGTCGCTGCTTATCGCCTGCAGCAATGACTGCATAATACATATTTTCGATGTTCGAGCTGATATAGTATAGACTATAGGCACTGTGAGCTGCATGACTTCAGCTAGCCAGAGCCTGTGGGCTGTGGGCTTCGGACGCCGCCCACGGCCCAACCCGACACTCTTGGTGAGTTGCGTGAACGTCTAAAACAATGCCTGCGTCGGGGCGGCACCCGCCCCCCCCCCTCGGCCGGCGAGGGTTAAATGCATACCTATGGGATTGAGTGCCTAAATTTAATTCAGCTCGAATGCCTATTACAATGATCGGAATACCTATAGGTACAGCCCACCGCTAAAGTAATGTGCGGTTTTACCAATCTCAACGGATGGCTTTGACTGGCGATTTTTTAATGCGGAGTGATCGAAAAGAAGACGCCAATGGATAAAGTTGCAGCTGCAAAGGTGACGATACATGTAAGCTACATTCAAAGTTCCATCGTAGTCTGGCTCAAGTCTGGCTAATCGTTCCTAAGCTTCAGAAGCAGAACATAACCATGACTGAAACCCAGAGCTGGGCGCGTTCCTCGATTTTCGGTAGTGCGTTAGCGTTCCTGCGTTCCTCCGGCCGCGGTTAGTGCGTTCCTGGAATAGCGTTCCTCAATTTTTTTTCGCTCGGTGCGTTAGCGTTCCTGCGTTCCTGCGTTCCTCCCTCAAAAATACCGCCGAACCACGCGGCGCGGGCCCAACCAAACACGGGGCGAATCGATCACAGAATACCCAGAATGGCGACGTGGGGCCGAAAAGCAGCTCGACATCTCTTTTCCGAATCGAATATCTGAAATACGTTTTACCAATATCATCCGTAGGGTTTTCAACAAAAATACGACCTGCTTAAAAACAATAGTTAAGTTAAAAGATGTATCTATATTATAAATCCTAAAAAGTCCGCCGCCGTCGGGGTTACTCCCTAAAAGGCTTATTACGGCGCCGTCGATTGACGCAGGAGTGTGAAATTTTTACCACTCGTGGGTCACGTCATTCAACAGGTCGTATTAAATTTTGGGCACGATGCGGCCAGGGGTGCGCCCGTGGCGCGTGCTCACGTGGTGTGCCATAGGGTTTACACTAGAATCGGCAACAGGCTATTGCTCGGGAACGGTAAGGGCTACGGGGGCGAAATTTTCGCTGTAAGTCGGACGCGTGCACTCATTTGTCGTATTAAATTTTCGACGGTGTGGGTTCAGCGGTGTGCACGTGATAGGGCCGCGACCGGCGCCGAGCAGAGGGCACGTGCTTTAGGCTCAGTTGTTCGCTTAAAACTGACTGGAAATAATCAGAGCCGGTAGGTCATTGACCTTTGGCAATGAATACCAACGCCGGGCACCGCTCGCCAAGAGGATTCGCCAGTAAATACAATTAATTTATTTTTGCTATATCTCAGCCGTTTCTGGGCCGATTTAGCTGAAACTTGGACTGTCGGTGGTAGTGTAGGGTAGGGTAGGGTAGGGTAGGGTAGGGTAGGGTAGGGTAGGGTAGGGTATGGGTATGGGTAGGGTAGGGTAGGTTAGGGTAGGGTATGGGTAGGGGTAGGGTAGGGTAGGTTAGGGTAGGGTAGGGTAGGGGATTGTAGGGTAGGGTAGGGTAGGGTAGGGTAGGGTAGAGTAGGGTAGGGTAGGGTAGGGTAGTGTAGGGGTAGAGTAGGGTAGGGTAGGGTAGGTTAGGGGTAGGGTAGGGTAGTGTAGAGCTAAGGGTAGGGTAGGGTAGGGTAGGGTAGGGTAAAGGTAGGGGTAGGGGTAGGGTAGGATAGGGTAGGGTAGGGTAGGGCAGGGGTAGGGTAGTGTAGGGCAGGGTAGTGTAGGGGTAGGGTAGGGTAGGGTCGGGTATGGTAGGGTAGGGTAGGGTAGAGTAGGGTAGGGTAGGGTAGGGTAGGGTAGGGTAGGGTAGGGTAGGGTAGTATAAGGGTAGGGTAGGTTAGGGTACGGTAGGGTGGGGTAGGGTAGGGTAGGGTAGGGGATTGTAGGGTAGGGTAGGGTAGGGGATTGTAGGGTAGGGTAGGGTAGGGTTGAGTAGGGTAGGGTAGGGTAGGGGGGTAGGGTAGGGTAGTGTAGGGGTAGGGTAGGGTAGGGTAGGGTAGGGGTAGGGGTTGGGGTAGGGTATGGTATGGTATGGTAGGGTAGGGTAGGTTAGGGTAGTGTAGGGATAGGGGTAGGGTAGGGTAGGGTAGGGTAGGGTTGAATTAAGTAACATCCTAATCTTACAAAGGGCTCGAACAACTCGCATGCATCACCATCATACTTTACAGTTCAATTAAAAGCAGTTACCCAGTTCTTCACAAATAATACCAGCAAGTTTCTACACCCAAACTAATGCATCCGTTAATCATACATATCAAAACATACAGTTATCGCGTAAACCTGTACCTCTAGTCTACTATTATAAATCCTAAAAAGTCCGCCGTCGGGGTAACTCCCAAAATGGCTTATTACGGCGCCGTCGATTGACGCAGGAGGGTGAAATTTTCACGGCTCGTGGGTCACGTCATTCAACAGGTCGTATTATATTTTGGGCACGATGCGGCCGGGGGTGCGCCCGTGGCGCGTGCTCACGTGGTGTGCCATAGGGTTTACACTAGAATCGGCAACAGACTATTGCTCGGAAACGGTAAGGGCTACGGGGCTGAAATTTTCACGCCAAGTCGAGCGCGTGCACTCATTTGTCGTATTAAATTTTCGAGGGTGTGGGTTCAGCGGTGTGCACGTGGTAGGGCCGCGACCGGCGTCGAGCAGAGGGCACGTGCTTTAGGCTCAGTTGTTCGCTTAAAAAACTGAGTGGAAACAATGCCGGGAGGTCATTGACCTTTGACAACGAAGTCCGACACAAGGCACCGCTCGCCAAGGGGATTCGCCAGTAAATACAATAAATTTGTTTTTGCAATATCTAAGCCGTTTCTGGGCCGATTTAGCTGAAACTTGGACTGTCGGTGGCAGTGTAGGGTAGGGTAGGGTAGTGTAGGGTAGGGTAGTAGGGTATGGTAGGGAGTAGGGTAGGGTAGGGTAGTGTAGGGTAGGGTAGGGGTATGGGTAGGGTAGGGTAGGGTAGGGTAGGGTAGGGTAGGGTAGAGGATAGGATAGGGTAGGGTAGGGTATAGTATGGTAGGGTAGTAGGGTAGGGTATGGTAGGGTAGAGTAGGGTAGGGTATGGTAGGGTAGAGTAGGGTAGGGTAGGGTAGAGTTAGGTAGGGTAGGGTAGGGTAAGGTAGGGTAGTAGGGTAGGGTAGGATAGTAGGGAAGGGTAGGGTAGGGTAGGGTAGAATAGGGCAGGTAGGGTAGGGTAGGGTAGGGGTAGGGTAGGGTAGGGTAGGGGTAGGGTAGGGTAGGGTAGGGACTAGGGTAGGGTAGGGTAGGGTAGGGTAGGGGTAGGGTAGGGTAGTAGGGTAGGGTATGGTAGGGTAGAGTTAGGTTGGGTAGGGAAGGGTAGGGTAAGGTAGGGTAGTAGGGTAGGGTAGGATAGTAGGGTAGGGTAGGGTAGGGTAGGGTAGGGTAGGGTAGGGTAGGGTAGGGTAGGGTAGGGTAGGGTAGGGTAGGGGTAGGGTAGGGGTAGGGTTGTGTTCAAAAAGGGTCCAACATACAAAACACTTGAACACTCCGCAACTACCACCATCCATGGGCGTAGGAACCTCACGAAAAGTGGGGGGGCCAGCGAAACTTCAATGTCACTTTGTGGGAGCCCCAATACCCCTATGAAGAAATTCTTTGCAGTTTTGTGCTCATCTCACCTTGCTGAATCATTTCCTGCTCTTAGTTTTGTATTTAAATAAAAAATAAAGATTTTACTTTAAAAAATGGCTAAAAAGTGGGGGGGCCATGGCCCCCCCGGCCCCCCCTGTTCCTACGCCTATGCCACCATCCCTTACAGTTAAATTAAAAACAGCTACCCAAATCTACCCAAATAATACAGCTAAAAATACAAGTCAATCACCCAAACGAATGCACCCGTAACATAACATAACTCAAAACATACAGTTATCGCGTAAACCTGTACCTCTAGTAACTTATAAATCAAGTCAACAGATTCATGCCTGGCGTTTCAAAGGACAACAGTAACACGTTCTAATACTAGTAAGCTCGTCGTGAAACTTGTCTTAGTAAAAGTTATCATATTTACTTTACACATTTAATGCCTGAAACTGAATCGAATAGTAAACATCACCACTAAAAATCTTTACACATTTAATGCCTGAAACCGAATCGAATAGTAAACATCACCACTAAATCTAAGCAGGCCTTCCTCGATTCGACCGACAAGTGGCGCCTCTACCGGCAAACACACGTACTCGAGATTCAAACATTTGACACAGAGGTCATTGGCAGCAATATAATTTTTCGGGTGGTTCCGCAAGAACGCAGGAACGCTTCAAAATTTCGGGTGGTGCGTTCCTCTTACTTGCGTTCCTTTGAAAAACTTTGCGTTCCTGCGTTCTTGCGTTCCTAAAAAGGGCGGTGCGTACGTACGGAAGAACGCAAGAACGCACTAAAGGAACGCACTTGCCCAGCTCTGCTGAAACCGCACATTACTTCTGCTGTGGACTGTATAACCTACTGCTTGACAGATGCGGATTGCGGAGGGGACCCTACGCCAGTCGCCACGCAGAGCTTTTTGCGCAGGCCCTGACCTCTTCCGTGCGGCTGAAGTTGAACTGTTCTGTGTTGATGATGCAGGAGGAAAAAGATATCTAACTAAAGGGCCCCCAATTTGAATTCCCCATCCAAGGCGAGTACACTGCACGCTGCTCCCACCAACCGCCTACCATCCCATCCCCTCCAGAAGTCTCTCATATCAAGCGCCAGGGGATTCGAATGCAGACCCTCATCACGAGGCTCCAGCTTTTCAGAGTTGTTTCTTTTTGTTAACTAAGTTGAGATAAGTTGAATTGCCTTTTTAAGGACTTTGGGAAATAAAAACATTTCAAGGATGCTTGCATTATTGATTTAGCATACACAGAATCAAATAAGAAGTCTCTTAGAAGTGGCGCGTAAGAGACAAAATAAGCCTGCTCCTCTGACGTCTGTCAATTCAGCA